CATTCGTAGAGTAAAAGCAGTAATGTTTTTATTTCTGTCAAGAAAAAACAAAAATTCCAAACATTTGATGGGACTTCGTGGTACAATACCTGCAGCATTGCTGCCTCTAAAACCATGGAACAATGTGATCATTACAGTATACTACACATTGTTACCAAACAGAGCAAAATGACCCAAGTAATTTTTTATTGCTTATTTACAACCTAGAGTATTTATCCACCAGAAAAAGAAAAAAAAAAAAAAGACAGAATTGAAAAAGAAACATTTAAAACATTTCAAAAGAGTAAACTAGGATCTGAACAGTTTAAGAAACTAACTACATATGAACAGCAAAACAAGAAGTTGTAATATAACTGGCACAAAGAATCCTGCTCATATAAAAACAAGTCTGTCGAGCCAAGCCAGTCCCAAACAGGTTTGTTAGCTGTCACAAGGATACCCAAAAATTACTTCACAGATTTTAATAAAAAAAATTAGGGCAGAAATAAGCAGATGAACAAGTGATAGGTTTTTGGTGCAGACCCCGAGAATAGCTCCCCTCCATTTGAACACATTTTCTGCCATTTAAAACTTTTGGCAGAACATTCACACGATTCTTCCTAGACATTCGATAATAACCGATCTTCTACTGAAACTGTGGTTCTCCGACAAACTGCGTGTTATGACCATCTTTTCAAACCTTTAATACATAAACAAGTCCAGAATTCCAATTACATACATAATATCCAGTCAAAAAAAGAAAAGCATCCAAGCAATAACACTGAATTTGTCATGTTTCTTCTCTCGCTGCTCAGTAGTGACCTGTGAAAAAAAAATGACAGGGTAAGATTTTAGTGACAAAAGTATGTGTGAAGGTTATATAATGTTTATTTCATATAAAGTTTCAAAAAGCCAATAATCTAATGTCTATCTTATGATAGAAACATTGTGTGAACATACGTGGTGAGTAGGACCGTGATCGGGATCGTGAGCGGTACCCTCTGCTATAATAAGGAGACGGAGATCTGCGTCTGTTGGGGGGACAAAAACACAACACTTTAGCATGTTACACATAAGTTAAGATCACTCAATTAACGAGATTCATTTGAGTCCTAAAATCTGGACAGTATCAGTAGACTACTCCATTCTGAAATTAATCAATAGTCTCTCACTACCAGTAGTCATGGGAGAAAGAAACAGGCAACCAGACAAAGGTACCCACCTGTACGATCTGTATTCTCTGTCGTCATAGCGATCATAGTCACGTTCATACCCTCTGTCATAGCCCCTGTCGTAGCCCCTGTCGTAGTCCCTTGAGGTGCGCCGCGATGAACCACCGCTACTGCTACCGCCGCCGCCACCACCGCCGCCACCGCCGCCGCCACC